TCTTCACAGAAACTGATATAAGATGTTACAGTCTCTGTGAGCTTGTCCAGATCATTGGCAGCAGCTTCAAAAACACTCCAATCAGTGAGATCAAAACAAGCTTGTAAATCCTGCTCTGCTTCATTAGTCCATCTTTTTACAGTCCTTAATACAGGTTTAGCTGATTTCTGTTTCTGCCTGTAGGTCGGTATAAGATGAACCAAACAGTGATCAGAGAGCCCCAAAGCTGCCCGTTGAACAGAGTAATATGCATTCTTTATTGTGGTATAACAGTGATCCAATATATTACTGTCTCTGGTGGGACATGTGATGTGCTGTCTGTATTTTGGCAGTTCACGGGAGAGATTGGCTTTATTAAAGTCCCCGAGAATGGATGCGCAGAGTCCGGGTGTTGTTGTTCTGTCTCTGTGATCTGATCAGCGAGTTTCTGTAAAGCGGAGCTCACGTGTGCTTGCGGAGGAATGTAAATACTGACGAGAATGAATGAGCAAAACTCCCGCGGCGAGTAGAAAGGCTTGCAGTTAATGAAGAGCACTTCTAGATCTGAACTGCACATCTTCTTTAACACAGTTACATCTGTACACCACCCCTCATTGATGTAAAAGCATGTCCCGCCGCCGTGTGATTTCCCCGTTGATTCTGCGTCGCAATCCGCTCTGAACAGCTGAAAGCCCGGGAGACTCAACGCGCTGTCCAGAATGGTGTCTTTCAGCCAGGTTTCCGTGAAACACAGAGCAGCAGAGTTTGAAAAATCCTTATTTGTCCGGGAGAACAGAAGGAGTTTGTCCGTTTTGTTGGGCAGAGAGCGGAGGTTCGCCAGATGGATGCTAGGCAACGGCGTCCTGAATCCACGCTGTCTGAGCTTCACGAGCGCGCCAGCTCGCATCCCCCGTCTGCGCATCCTGAAGCTTCTGAACAGCGCCGCTGCTCCCCCGACTACAATGTCCAGCAAAACATCAGAATAATCGAAAACCAGTGAAATATTGGGTGGTGTGTACTGCCGAATGTCCAGCAGTTCGTCTCTGGTGAAACTGATTGCAGGGATATAACTTAAGACAGGACAAACTAACAAAAACTTAAAAACAACTGCGGAGCACGCCACGGAGGCAGCCATCACCGTCTACGCCATCTCACATCTCTTTTTAGGAGCTCATGTTTGATTATTACCTCAGCTCGGCTGTAAAGCTCAACTGTGACAAAAACATCAACGCTGCATTTTGATGCGCTATGTTTACTGCACATTGGTAAAAGTAGCTTGTTACTGGAAAAGCTACACTGTTTTAAAAACAGCAAAGGTACTGTCACACTGTTGTTAAGTTAGTGAAGTTGCTTCCTCTCGTTTGTTTCTCTCCTCTCAAACTACACAAGACAGAAAACAGTTTACCCAGAGATCAGAAAATGTTGTTCTCATTAGGGATAAAGATAGTCAGCGAAGGCTTGCTCCTCATGAACGGCTCATCCGTCAAAACGTGCCTGCTTTTAGCAGACCTTCAGCAAAAATAGAATGATAATTACGTCAATCAGTAACAGTGGGGAAAACAGAAGTGGCTGTTTGGTGGGGAGATGAATGCTGGTGTGCTGGATGGAGGAGGAAGGGGAGATTTGGTCCTCAAATATCCAAAATAAAGGAGTAGTGCAACAAAAAATAGGATGTTTCTTATTTATTTGGTTCCACAGTGTTTGCTGATTACTTTATTTAAACTTTGTGTATTTTATTTATTTTATTTTACATCAAGGTGTATATGCCATGCATCCAAGCTTTCTTATTCGTTTTGCTAATAAACATTCTATGCTTCTTATTTATTTGGTTCCACAGTGTTTGCTGATTTTCAGTTTTTTTTAAACTTTGTGTAGCCTAAGTAATTTGTTATTTTATTAGGCATAGGCCTATATGGTGTATTTTTATTCGTTTTGTTAATAAAAGTTCTGAGTTTGATGTTGTTGTTGCTTGAATTGAATCAACGCTGAATTGCCCCTAATTTGAAAGTGAAAGTAAAACGCACACGGCGATTTTTCAAGCTATTTGAAAGCCAAGAAATCCAAGAAAAGAGGGAAAACTCAAACGAACTAACCCCCCACCCCAACGGTGATACCGGTATTGTCACTCGTTGATTAAAATGAGATCTTTTGAAGAATATCTGGGTCCAAAACAACATTGGACACCTTTTGATTACACAGACCTGTGTCATGAAAAACATTTCTGCTGATTTGCGAAAAGGTCTAATATTACAAATGATGCTCAGTTCAAAAATATCAATAACAAACATTCCATCATGTAGTTTTTGCACACAATAACAATGAAGACTTTTCAAGTAATATGTATCAGGTTTAAAGCACTTATCAGCATAAAATTATTATATAAAGTATTAAATAAGCATTACAATTAATATATCAACAATCTGCAAAGGAGTGGGAAAATATGTGCAAATACTCCATTTAATGCCCAAGAATTTTACATAAACACAAGTTTATAAATAAATCAGCGTTTTCCCTACAAAATCTGTCATTTTCTGTTGCTGTTTGGGTGTAATAAAAATAACAGATGTAGCAGAAAATGTACCATATACTAACTTTAAAATCAGGATTAGGCATAAAATAATGTCTTCAGAATCATTCATATGTGTGACAACTGGCTGTGAATTGAACAAAGAGTTGTAACCAGATAGAATGTTTCTCTTCTGTTTAAGGGATAAAACAAGAAGTCTTCACCTTACAAATGGTTGTCAAAAGCAAAAAAGCTACAAAATGCACATAATTTGAGAAAGTGTGACGAGCTTGAGCAAACAGACACTGTTTTTGGAATCAGCACCCCAGAATTGGTAAAAAAAACGGTATTGGATTTTATTCAACAAATATGATGCGGGGCGGTATTATCATTGTAGAAGAAAGTCAGTAACACTTTAGTCTAGGGACCAATTCTCACTATTAAGTTGCTTGTTAGCATGCATATTACTAGCATATTGGCTGTTTATTTGTATTTATAAAGCACATATTAATGCCTTATTGTGTATGACCAGATCCCTTAAGCCTACATAAACTAACAATACCTTACTAACTATTAATAAGCAACAAATTAAGAGTTTATTGAGGCAAACGTTGTAGTTAATTGTTAGTTAATAGTGAGAATTGGACCCCAAACTAAAGTGTGACCAAAAACTCATACAGGTTTGGGACGACCTGAGTATATGATGATTTTTGCGTGAACTCTTTAAGTCATTATTTTGTTAAATTTCATATGAATTGTTATTGGAATACAACTGCATGATGCTTTGAAATTCTCCTTTTATGTTGAACAGACAAAAATGGCAGGGTTTGGAACAGCATGAGGGTCAGTAAACACTAGTGTTCATTTTGTCAGCTATTTTCATTTTAGTCTTAGTCTTAATCCCGGGCTAAAATGTCTGTGTTATTTTTTATCATATTTAGTCAACCTTATACTATTTAGTTTTAGTCAAGTTTTAGTCGACTAAAAGTCTCAACATTTTAGTCTAGTTTTAGTCCAAGAAAATCTAAAGTATTTTAGTCTAGTTTTAGTCAATGAAAACTTGACATTTTAGCAATAAGATTATTATTAATTAACCATACAGTAGTATTAATTTTGGCAGCCATTTTTATTTTTTGTCTTAGTCTTACTCAAATGTACATTTTAGTTATCATATTTAAACAAACTTGCCCTGTTTTTGTTTATCCAATTAAATGTATGAGCATTTTAGTCTGTTTTTTTAGTCAATTAAATATTAGTCACATTTTCGTCATTCTGTATAATGGTTAAACTGATCAAAATTTATTTTTTCTCAAAATTATAATCATAATGATTGTTGTCATTTGAGAAATTTCCTTTTGCATTTCAGGTATTGCACTTTCACCTTTAAGCACAAATCAATAGAATGTGGACACATACATGGTGTATTTTACCTCATCTAGTGTATTGATTTATTATAGGCATTATCATCACCAAAGACTAATGCAATCTCTCTGTCTACATTATGAAAACAGCTAAAACAAACTAAAAATATTATAAAAAATTATAAGAAATTCCTAGTAATTCCACTAATTCCATAATTGCAATAGTCTATTTCTCTATTAAAACAACAGCGGTTGAGTAAGTGTATTTATTCAGCAATCACAATCGCAAACAATATAGTGAGATCTCATGACAGAACACTGACTGGCTGAATGATGCTTTCATTTAAGATTGCTAAACTCCAGCTTGTTTGTTTTTCAGATCATATCCGCATATGATCTGAAAAACAAACAAGCTGGAGTTTAGCAGTTTAACAACGGCGCTTCCGCAATAAGGAGCGAGTGCGCATGGTTGCCAGATCGCTTAAATTAAGCAAAACACACAGGGCAGAAAATGTATGAATTTATCAGCAAAGCTCTGATTCGGGGATCAGAACTCTTGATATCTGGCAACCGCACTCATGAAAGCTTGCGTAGTAGAGGCGTGTAGAGCAGTCTACAATAACATTTTGTCTCCTTTTTTGACGAAAATAAAAAGAGGTTTTTGGTAAAGTTTTTATCTTTTTGAATACATTTTAGTCTCGTCTTATTTCGTCAATGAAATTGCATGGTGATATAGTCTTAGTTATCGTTCATTGACCTTATTGTCGTCTCGTCTTTGTCTTGTCTTAGTCTTGGGAAAAAAGCTCGTCAACGAACATTTTTCATCATAGTCTTCGTTAATGAAATTAACACTAGTAAATACAAGCCAAATTTTCATTATTGAGTGAGCTATTTCTTGAAAAGGCTCCTCCTGGTGGTCATGGGTTGTCAGGGTAGGATGAAAGCATCCCGTTCCGGACTTAAAGGGGTCATATGATGTTGCTAAAAAGAACATTATTTGGTGTAATGAAATGTTTATGCAGTTTAAGGTTCAAAAAACATATTTTTTTCCACATACTGTACATTATTGTTTCTCCTCTATGTCTTTCTGAAACGTGTTGATTTTTACAAAGCTCATCGGTCTGAAAAGCAAGGTGTGCTGTGATTGGCCAGCTACCCAGTGCATTATGATTGGCCGAATACCTCAAGCGTGTGACAGAAATGTTACACCCCTTACCATACTGTGATGCTGCCCTGTCCAGCCGGAGCGATGATTCAAAAACATGAAAACCCATTATAAACGAGGCAGCAGAGGCCGGTGGGCTTGAGAATGGCGCGGCCGGCGGATTCGACGAAGGTAGCGGCTGGCGGGCTTGCGGCAACCACGGACTCCGCTTCGGACTCCGCTTCGGACTCCGCTTCGGACTCCGCTTCGTCCACGGTGAAAGCCGATCCAGTGATCCACAGCACAAAGTTGTTGTATTTCCTCAGCAACCAGCACGGATCAGCTCCAGGCATGACGAAGCAGATATCGTCCTCTTTTGGAAGACCAAACAAAGTAGTTTCGCTTTCACAACGAAGCACACAGCGTCTTCACGACATGGCGGCGTCAACAATACTACAGCGAGAATAAAAGTTACGCCTTCTTTCTTTGCGTGAACATTTGGGCAGCGTTATGCAAATCTTCCCACATAGTGACGTAGATATGTGGGGGCGTGTTAGAACGAGCCATTTTAGGTAGGCGTGGTTGACTCTTAACTTTTATAAAGAATATCTCTTTGGATTTGAGACTTTAGTCTTTGCAACTTTACAGATCTTCTTTATGCACCAAGAGCTTGTAACACTCCAAAGAGAAAGGAAAAATTTAAATCGCATTATATGACCCCTTTAAGAGACTTGAGACAGAGAGATGGAAAACAAAAAAGTAGAGGGAGTCTGATCGGACACTGCAGCAGAGGGCCAAGAGACCAGACTGTCTGAAAGCCAAATTGGCAGCAGAAGAAAGAAGCCATTTGGGAATTCAAAGGTAGGAACCAAGCGATCCGTCCATTTGGAGAGAAAGTGTGTCTGGTTCCTAGAGGCGTGATGAGGTGTAGGTTTAATGACAGCAGAAGGTTTCCTTTGTTCAGCCAGCGAGCTGGAGGGAATTGAGCAGCGGCACGTGAATATGCATGGCCTCCGCGCGGGACGTCATCACTTGTTAAAGGCTCACTGCCATCAGAATGGGCTTTTATCTGAAAAATAAAATGAGGAGCTAAAGAGAAAGTGAGAAATGGCTTGCTGTGCTTGTCCTTTCATTGAAAAGACGTGTCCTGCCGATAGGCTCCATTTAGCAGAAATGACTGCAAAACTGAATGTTCCTCTATCAAATAAAGCATCGGCGTGCCATCCTGTCGGAAATGTTATTATTTGAGCCGCTGGAGAATAACGCTGAATTTTTAATAAGTCTGAATTAGGACTGAATTTCTGGGGTGATGAGATGAGAATTAGCTCTAGCAGTAAATCAGCAGCTCAGTTTTTTCTGTTTTATTTGCACACTTATCTTGCGGGGCTAAAACACTAAATGTTTTACACAGTAGAAAATGTGTGATGAGTTTTATGCTCTCTTTGGACACACCAGATGGTAATGAAATTGAGAAAATATATGGAATATAAATATTTTTTACCAGTCTTAAAGCAAAATGATGCATTAGTTTATGCTGAAAATGATAGCGAGAGGATGATGCAGTGAGAATGACTCAAGCTTGATTTGAACTCTATTTGCAACTTCACAATAATTTTGTCCGTATGACAGTGAAATGATTTTGTGTCAGACTTCACTGGTCTTTGTGCCACTCAAAATGAGCTCATCTCCATCACTTGGTGAAACCAAACTTGTCACAAAACCGTGAATTATCATTGTCATTTTGTTTTGTCATATTCTTGTCTAGATGACTTAATGATGAAGTTACATTTAAAGGCACGTCAGTCAGTTCACTCATCTGCAATCTTGGTAAATATTTTCAGCTATTTTCAGTCAGGCAAGTACAGTTCCTGTCTATTTGAAAAAGAAAAGCCTGAAATTGTTAAAATGATTGAATGTTATATTTTAAATCAGGAGTAAAATATGACAGCAGCTGTATTATATATTTGTGGACTTTAGCTCAAATAATTAAAAAAGAGATTATATTATATTATTATTATACTATATTATATTATATTTAGTTTTTAAATGTTTTTATAAAAAAAAAAAAAAAGCTATATATATATATAGCTAGCTTTTACTCAGAATCTTTTTTTCAGTCTGAAATGTATTTTCTTGCCCTTTAAAGTACATTTTGTAATATATTTTGGCATTTGAAGCTCACATTTTATTTCAAAATTATACTTCCTTTGGCAGCTCTGTTCACAACATATTTTTAGAATATATTTGAAATATATTTCAGCCAAAAAAAATAAAGGAAAACTCTGTGTAAACGGGCAGTAGATGGTTTTATTTGAATCCTGCACATCTCTAAAAAATCAGATTATCGTTCTTACATTTTGGCTTAGCTTACACCATATAATGTTGTGGTTCCTAATAACGTTAGCGGCAAGCTTTCGAGTAACTCAGTTTTATTCACTCGCTAAAGCCAATTTTAAGTCGCGTTTTTTGGCGTCTGCGGCTCTCAGATA